AAAAATATAAAATAATAAAATTAATAATTACAATAACATTAATAATAAAAAGACAGACTAGTATTATATTTTAGAATGTAATGCTCAAAATATAATTTAAAAAAGAAATATATTTATATTTAAAAGTAATGCATAAATAGTTAACTAATACGATTATTCAAGCTTTTAAAAGGAAATAATGAAATACACACAAGTATTATAATTTAGAATTTCATGTTAATTAATTCTAATTTCTATTTTCTTAAAGAAAACTAACATTTAAGGACTGGCTATATATGGCGGTCCATGTATTCAATTTGGAACCCAAATTCTTTTGTACGTAAGTATTTTACCTGGCCTTATTCCAAATAATTTGAATTCCAGAAAACTATCAATTAATTCTTCCCTTCAGTTACAAAAACAATATCCCCTGTTAACCCTTTTCAATGCGTAGATAGCTGAGGTAACAAGAGACAAACTCCGTCCGTGTTATGAACTCCATTTTGATTGCCCGGGCTTTTTGCGTATCACATTTCGTAAGTAACCACAAAAAATATGAAATTGTGACCAATGCGAGAGCCGGAAACGAGGGCGAAGGCAATCGTGGTGGGCCCTCGTTACATAAAGTTATGTATATCAATATCTATAACTTTATATAAAGTGCTGGCCCATAACATATATGTATGTATGTACAAGCTAATACGTGTTGTGTTTTGTTTTCGGGCAACAAATTACGACCGCACACACGCACACATACACACATATGAGTAAATTGAAGGCCTTTAGTGGCAATGGGTGGGTGGGGAAATCCATAGGAAAAGAAACATCGTCAGCAGCAAGAGCAGCCCCTTAAATTCAACACAAACACACATACACACACGCACATATACTTTACTGTGCGTATGTGTGGGGGCGCTTAAATCAACAAAAGAAGAAGGCAATGATAAATGCAACGCGCTTTGGGGGTGAAATTCAACGCTGTGGCAAACGCGACGAGTGCCACCCTAAGCAGCACCCTAACCAAGTCAATGCCACCCAATTATAGCTGTATACTTGTATGTGTAGTGTGCAAGTGTGTGTGGGTGTGTGTGTCTCGGATAGAGCTCATTTGAAAATAGATTTCCAGTCGGATTGCGTTTGCTTCTCAATGTCTGCTTGTCCATCTAACGCGCTCGTCCTTTTATTATTATTGTTTCATTTTTTTCCTTCTTCAATCTTTCTACCAAATATCCTAGGTGTGAGTGTGTGTGCGAAATCCATATATAAAAGGCACAAAACAATAACAATAAAAATCATGTATGTATGCTCGCACATACGTGGATATATGTGTGTACATATGTGTGTATTTGATATACTCTATAAAAGTTCCTTATTTTCAGTGCTGTATCTTTAACTTTATCTAGAGTTATTATACATTTGTATGCGTATATGTTCGTTTCTCTTCTGTTCATGTAACTGTGCATATAAAATCTAATTTCAAAATATTCATAAGTTTATACAAGAGAAGCAAGTGTATGTTATAGTCGATCACTTTACAGGTAGAGACTTGACTAGAGACTAGAGATAAGAGCGTAGAGCGAAAGATAAGAAAGACAAGGGAGGAGGGAAGGATCAGAGGAAAATGAATTAAATGGGTATGGAAGAGGGAAAGAGTAGATGAAAGGGGGAAGAACAAAAATGGAACAGTAGTAAAGATAGAAGAGGGGAAGGAAATATTTATTTTTGTCGCTTATTCTATAATTACATTTTATTCTATAATTACATTTTAATATTTAGTGTATTATTATTCTATAATTACATTTTAATATTTAGTATATTAGATGATCTTAGCATAAAAAGTCGAATATTGCTGACCTGATATTACTCGCACAAGAACTTCAACTTAATTTTTAAAATTGTTGAGTTGAATTATTTTCACTCAACAACAAAATCGATTAATTTAATGGACTAAACATAATACTGGTATACAAAAACTCATAGCATATGATAGCTCCTATTGCTGTCAATTTTATAAATCTAAAATTCTTGCCAAATGTTTCGGGATATATGTATATGTTTATATACACATATGTACATATTCTCATATAAATATACACAATATAGACACACACACATATATGCATATGTATGGGTATATGAGTACATAAGATATTCCCCCTCAATATGCGAGACACTTAAGCCATCGCAATTACACAGCAACAAATAATGGATAGTATATGTGTGCTAGCGCCCCCTTGCAAGGGCCAGCGAAACGGTCAGCGCCCAAGTTTATCTATCGATTTTTTGCACATTTACTGCGAATAGAAACACATTAGACAAAATAAACTATATATATGTATATATATGGAGCACTAATCGGGGCTGAAGAGGCAACTGGAAATGCGCCCTTCTGGGACGAAATGGAAGGTAAACCAGCTGAGAGTCAGCCTAATGTGGCTCCGTCTTGATATGAAATGCGTTAAAACGAAAATTAAGCAACACACAATTAATGGCCAACGGTTTATCATACAATTTTAATGGCCCAAATAAATTGGTCAAAACTAGCCAAGAGCAAAATTGCCAAACGCAATCACTCACAACTTTCCGAATGACTTTCATTGAAGGGGAGTAAAAATTTATGTTTGCAGTTGGAATTTCAGTATAGTTTGGTCTGGGAATCATTGATTCGTGAACTAATTAAATTATTCAGACAAGATTATCTATAAGATAGGATAAAAGATATCAAAAGTATTATGAATTACTCTTGAGCCCGTAGAGGTATGCAACACATTTTGAAGACATTAAGAAAATCGCATAAAATGAATGAAAGTAGAACTAAGTTTATATTCTACGTATGCTACGACAATATCCATATATATAAAGATATATTGCCAGAGAGCTATTCAGAGTATGACATCATATTTTGCTAGCAACCGCAGACTCAGCTCTGCGRGAAAGAGAGAGAGAGAGTATAGTGGGTGGGGTGGAAAGTACATATTTGACCACATTTGGCCCTGGCGTGACACCACCCACAATCCGCTAACATTGTTATAAAAGTGCAAACAAACACATGGCCAGCAGTCGCTGAAGCGGGGGCGGGGGAAGTGGGCGAGCGAAATGAAACGAAATTAACTTCGCTTGGACTTGGGACTCACGCTCTCCCGCCACGACGCGACGCCCAAAGGACTTGAGACAGAGCATCAGACACATACGAAGAGCAGCAGCAGCAGCTCAATACCAATGCCCCGATGCGAGTGCGAGCGAGAGAGAGTGAGAGGAAGAGCGAGTGGGGAGAGAGCGACGGCGAGCACGGCGAAAAAATTATGAAGCTGAAGCACGACGCAGCACGGCAGCGAAAGCGAAGAAGAAGACGAAGAAAGCGATGACGATGACGACGGTGATGGCAATGGCAATGGCGTCGCCGACCTGTGGCCGCTGGCAAAAGAAAAAAAAGCACGAAGCGAAACGAAAGATAGAAGAAGCAGAAGAAGGAAAAAAATGAGAAACCATGTGGTCCGCTGGCTGGGCAAATAAATAGCTGGACATAAAAACCGAGCGTAAGCGAAACAGAAAATCAGCAAAAAGGGAAGCTAGCCCCCGCCCCTCGCATGATGTACGTGCAACAGAGCGAGAGCCACCGAATGTCGGCAGGAATAAAAAATTGAATGAAATATTTTTATAACCAGGAGAAAAGAAGAGCGAGCGAGAAAGCACGAGAGATGGAGAGCAGAGAGAAAGAGTGAGAGAGTGCGAGCAGAGATAAAGAGGGGCAGAAGGATATTGATGGCGTGCAGCAATAAAAGTAAAAAAGGAAAACTTGCTTATCAAATATGAAGGAGCACACACAATAGCGAGCCGCTCCATGTGTGTGTGCATGTGTGTGTGGGGGCATCATAAAAGCCATGAGCTCACCTTGCCGACCGCACCTAAGGGTAGTTAAGTCCAAAGTTTTATGGTCAGCGAACAGGTAGGCGGTCAAAGTGACCCAACTAACCCAACCAAAAACCAACCATTCCAGCATGGAACGTCGTCTTCCTTTTTCGTAGTCATAGTATGTGAAAGTGTACGGGTGTGTGTGTGTGCGAGAGTGACTCTGAGCTGAGCTATGGGCTATGGGAGGCTGCCTGCACACGTGCGGATAATAAAAAATGTTTTACTTTTCAATCGACCAATAATATGGCGTTCAATGGACAGGCCAAACGTGCGCAACCCGGACTCGTAACAATGGCTGCCACCAAGCTTACAGCCACAATTACAAGCGTATCTGCAGCGCGCACACACACACCCACACACATACTTTGTTCAATCATCGTTGCTACTAAAAAAAAAAAAGAAAAAATTCATTTTGAAAAATGCTAGAACTTCAATAAATTATATTGCTTTGGCCAGAACCAAACCCAAGCGAATCGTAAAAAAATGGAGGTAACCTCAACGTGAGGCGTGGGGCGCGTGGGGGTCCGAGTGCTTCATCCAAGCTGTAGCTCGACTTGCTGGCACCTTCACTATCTCATGGCAACAATACAAAGGAGACGAAGAAGAGAAATAACAGAGCAAAATTCGCATGGCGGACAGGTGAATCGGGTCAGAGACGGCAGCAGCAACAGCAGCAGCACCTAACGGTCAGTCATTCTACCTTCACTCACACACACACACACACATATACACAGGCTGGGCAGCAGCTATGTGGTAAAAAAAAAAGCTGAGACTGAGATGTAGCTCTGAGTCTGGGCTTGAGCCGTTGCCGCAGAAGGACGAGAACGAGGACAAGCCAATGGCAAGCTGAAACACGCTGCCCGGTCGATGGTTATTGGTTCGCGTCGCAATAATATAATATACACACAAATGCACACACACACACACAGACACGCATACATACAGTCATCGCCACATACTTATGTAGAATATAAAAATTGAGAATATAAAAAATATCACAGGACAAAAAAAAACTAAGAAAAAAATTTAATGATGCTGGGGTTAAGTATATGTAGAAATACCCTGTGTAAAGTAAACTATGGCTATATCAGATAGATATATAAATATAGATATATGTATATATAGATATATATACAAATAGTTGTATACTCAACAGATCTGATAAATGCATATATATTTCAGATATGCACGCACCAATATATCCATTTACGAACTTAATGATTACAGGGTATGCGGAGAAAAAAGCTTTCCTGTCAAGTGAGCGTGCAAAAAAGGAAGAAGCAGAAACTGTGCTGCCTGAAGTGAAAATGTGGGTGGGTTGTGAAGGCATGGAGCAGGGGAGGGGGATCAGTGCGATGCAAAAAAATTGGAATGGTGAGTGAAATTTTACTCAACTTTGCTGCAACAAGACGCTTTTTTTCATTCCATTTCTTTCATTCCATTCTATTCCATTCGGCGGTTACATAGAATGTGGAATAAATTAGATGGAGGAGAAATAAGAGAGAAGAAGAGAAAGGTGGAAACAGATGGTGTTATAACAATTGCCATAATTACAATTAAATATTAATTACGGTTTCCATTAGAGACAAAAATGCCAGACTTACATTTATGTATAAACATTATAGATAGATGTATTAGATATAAGATTATTTATATTATTGAATTGTTACTTTCTTAGATCAGTTCCAGCCTTCAAAACATGGCTTGGGTTTTCTTTTATGATTATGAAGTGGAGAAACTTTTTTTTATTATAACAATTTTATATATATATATAACAATTTTTGTTATAACAATTGTCATAATTACAATTGAATATTACTTACGATTTCCACTAGAGACAAAAATGCAAGACTTAAATTTATATATAAATATTTTATATAGATGTATTAGATATAAGATTATTTATATTATTGAATTGTTACTTTCTTAGATCAGTTCCAGCCTTCAAAACATGGCTT